CTCCTCTACTACAGTCATCTCCTCTACTACAGTCATCTCCTCTACTACAGTCATCTACTCTACTACAGTCATCTACTCTACTACAGTCATCTACTTAGGAAACACCTACTACAGTCACCTACTAAGTCCAGAGAACACCTGTTCCCCAGGGAGCGGCCCACAGTGAGCATTAGCAGCTAGGAGGGAAAGAGGGGTCCCTCAGCATGAGGCTCCTGCAGAAAGCCAGCATGTGACAGGAAACAAGGTAGTCCCAGTGCTCAGCAAGGAGCCACCAGCTTTCTCTCCCCCCGAGAGGACTCTGAGCTCTGCGGTTTGCTCGGCAGAGGAGAAACATCGGCCCGGCACCGTGCAGGCGGGACAGCGGGCCTGTCAGCACTCAGAAGTACGCTCAGAGACTGGCTTCGAGGAGCTGCACTGTATTGTCATGGTAGGAGCTCCATTATTATTACCTGGCTGCTTTTGTCGGGGCTTTGGCAAGTTGGTCACACACGTGTGTGGGCACATGAGGATATTACACGGGTGTAGAGAACCCTCCAGAAAGAGCTGCTTTGTCTGGGAGATGTGGATCCCTCCTAGTGGAGTTTTTGGTAGCGTGTTGGCAGGCACCAGAGCGAGACAGTAGACGCCTACTTGATGGATGCTATCGATCGCCTGGAAAACAAAGAAAAACGCCCAAAGTGAGGTCACTTTGACAGAGTCCACGACTTTACCGCCCAGTGTTTCCTCTATCTGTCCCAGGGTGGCAGTCTGGTAGACGACTAAGTTCTCATGTATGCCTACCCACACCGCCTGCCTCCATTCTGCTGTGACCTGAAAGTTAGACCTGCCACCCTGGTTTCCTTCCCACAATCCTTTGAGCCCTTCTTTTCTAATATGGGCCTAGCAGCATGGTTCTAGTAGGAAAGGGTGGCAAGAAGGGCCAACAAAGAGGGGGCCTGAGAGTACACCATAAACGTTTCACAAGCGCGCCCATGGTGTGGGCTTCAAGAAGCACAGTCCCTGGGCCCTCCACGGAACGTGGAAACTTGTGATGAAGCAGACAGGACGCCAGCTGTGCGCATGGGCACTCCAAGTGTGCTCCACAAACCATCTGGGCCACAGGAGTAAGGAATGTTGTGTGTTGTGTCCTGTGTGCACACCCAGAGGACAGAATGAGGATGAGGACACGCTCCTTATGTTGAGCCTGTGTCTCTGTTACCACATCAAAGAGATCTACAGTCAGGCTGGAAGAAGAAGTCATCTGCTGAGTGTCAAATGAGCTTACAGAACGGGGAAAGGGTCTCCCTGTGGGCAGGTGTGGGTGCTGCAACACCCACAGTCTCCACCTGGAAGGCGAGGCAGAGCCCAAAGAGAGACAGGGCTGGCATCAAAGGTGTGTGCCACCGTTCCTGGCCCCAAATGACTCTTCATAGGGTTCCGGTTAAATTCCTGTAGCTACTTCCTGGGTTGTGCCTTAGGAAACTGCAGATAAATTCACTTGTCTACAGAACAATGTAGAATGTGTGGTTAACCACTGGACACTACCGTTAGCACCAGAACTTCTGAAAAATGTAAGCAGGTTTCAGTCTGAATACATATCATAAAATACTTTTCTTTTTTCCTCGTTTAAAAATTATGATTGGTGGGGGGAGGGCTGGGGTCAGGCTATAAAGTGATTAAATAAATAAAAATTTAAAATATGATGATTTACACACACATGCACATGCTACAGGTCTCCTGTGGAGGGCGGAGGGCAGATGGGAGGGGGAGAGGGTGGAAGGCAGAGGGGAGAGGGCAGAGGGGAGAGGGAGGAGGGCAGAGGGGAGAGGGCAGAAGGCAGAGGGGAGAGGGCAGAAGCCAGAGGGGAGAGGGTGGAGGGCAAAGGGCAGCTGTGCAGGGTCAGTTCTCTCTTTCTACCTTTAAATGGTCCCACTAACGAAGAGAACTAGGCATGGTGGCACAGAACTTTTAACCCAACATTCACGTGTGTGTGTGTGTGTGTGTGTGTGTGTGTGTGTGTGTGTAAGTAAATGGACTATTATATATATTATATTCTCCAAAGAGAAATGAGGCTAGTTGATTTTGTAGAATAATTGGTAAGGGCAAAAAAAAACAAAAAAAAAAACAAAAAAAAAAAAACAAGGTAGGGAGGGATATGGGCAAAGTTGAAGGGGTGGGGGAAAGAGTGGATATAAACTTATTCATTCTGTACATGTAATAAATTACACACACACACAGTTTTTTCGAGACGGGGCCTCTCTGTGTAGCACTGGAAGTTTGTTATATGTAGACCAGGCTGGCCTTGAACTTGCAGATCAGCTGCCTCCGCTGGGAGTCCAGGCATGCGCCACAGGCTTGAACATGACTTTTAAAGGCAGCACCGTGCGCGGAGCGGGCCCTCACCTGCAGCACACGGCTCATCCACTGGAAGCTGTCCTCCTCGGCTGCATCCGGTCTCTGCTCCGCCACCACCACAATGCGCTCGTCATAAAACACAGACACAGAGAACACGGCAATCCTGAGAGACAGAGCACACACGTCAGTCTCCCTTCAAGGCCGTCGTGACTGCTTCCTCAGCTGGAGTGGAGAAGCCATCCCCACCACACCACCCAGACAGCAGAAAGAGAATGTAAAGTCAGTGTCCCCACACCAGGATCCAGTGAAGTCACTTAAAAACCAAAGCAGCGTGGACTGAGCACCAGAGTGGCAGACATGACACACTTCCTGGCTTTGTGGCGCTTACGTGTGAGACAGAACCAACCAACACACAGACAGTGAAGCCATATTGTGATGTGCCAGGGGCACAAGGGGCAGGGCCAGCGGAGTGGGGTGCCCGGTGGAGTGGGGTGTGGGTGCTTGGGGAGCGCCTCCCTGGGGCGGACACTGGAGCAGAGACCTGAGTGAGGTGAGGACCCGAGCCACGCGAAGATCTGGAGGAGGAGGACTCCGGGCAGAAGGAGCGGAAAGCGGAAAGGTTCTGAGGTAGGGAGCAGCAGCAAGAAGGCCAGTGTGCCTGGAGCAGAGTGGTGAAGCAGAGAGTGGAGCGACAGTCAGACACGGGCAAGGGAGACTGAGGCCGAGGGAGGAGGATGGAGTTGGACCTGAGGGAGGTCTCCGCTCAAATGTCCCCTCACTAGTGAGGCATCCCCACACCACCTCAGTGTGCGCTCAGGACCCTATCACATGCACCATGTTGCCGTCTGCCTGACTTCTGTGTTTGTCGTGAGAATGTGAGGGCACACACGTAGCCTGTTTTGTTCACTGCCAAAGTACCCAGAAGAGCAGGTGTTTGCACCAGTATTTGCTGGATGAATGCGGGAAGATGGGAAGACACTGGAGAGCCATGATTGCTGGCCTGCCTGCCGGAAGGCCTTCCTCCCACCCACAGCAGTCGGGGCACAGTGTGTGCAGGCACCGTGGGGAACACTGGGGACACCTCTGTGACCACAGACAGTGGTCCAGGCCCAGGAAGCTCCATTCCTGGAAAGCCACGCCAAGACAGAAAACCTGGCAATGCAGGAACTGGTTCCTCTGCTGTCTAGAATTTCTTCTTTCTGACTTAGCTAAGCTCAGGACGGGAGGACAGAGGGGGCACACGCCGCAGGCCCAGCACAGACGTGGGTGAAAACAATGAAAACGCCCCTAGCAGACAGCCATCTGTGCCTGTGAACTGCCAGGGCGCCTTCCCGTGGCTTAGTGAGCTCAGCGCCTGGCCCTCTCAGCACAGAGCTGCCGCATCAGCCTCCACCCGGGGAACGCAACCGTTCCCTAGAGATGAGAGGAGGGGCCTCAGGCCTGCACTGCACAGAGCGGTGGCCGTCTACTCTGGCCTGGACAGCACCATCCTGGAAGGACTGCACAGGCACAGTGTTCTGTCTTGGAGTCCTCCTCCGTCTTCAGAGCTCAACAAATACTGACAGACTCTGGTACACCAATACGGTCACGTGTCCTTCCTTTCAGTCAAAGAGCCAAACACTGCAGGCATGTCCTTCATGCCGGGCTTCTGTTATTCCAGCCCAAGGCAACCTGAGAGCACGGACAGAACCTGCGAAGCACAGCTCGGAGCATGCTAGCGCTGCTGACAGCGGTGTCCCTGAACTCACCTGCCCCGATAGACCGTCTTCATGGACTCCACAGCCAACCCAGTGGCAACGATGTCGTCAGCGTTATGTCTCCGACCACTGACCATGAGTAGGCCATCGATCTTTCCAACCACGAACACCAAGCTGCCCTGAAAGTCAGCAATGGTTTACCATCATTCCACGGCTAAGAGGGTAAGAGGACACTCTCCGTTTCCTCTTATGTATGTATGTAACTTTATGTTCTTTATGTTCTTTATGTAACTCTCATAAAGAACACTAAGAAAGATGCCCGTGAGCACCCAGAGTTCAGTTCCCAATACCACAAACCGTGTCCAGGAAAGAAATAATGTCACAGTTCATAATTTTTAAATAAAAGAAACTCTCTGGGATCAGTGAGGAAGTAGCACAACAAAGCCAGTGAGGTCTTTTTAAAAATCCCACCACAGCTGCGTGCGCACGTGTAGGTGGGCACAGACCGCCACTGCACACTTGTGGAGTCAGGGACAACTCGCAGGAGTAAGTTCACTGTTTCTGCCCTGTGGGTCTTGGGGATTGAACTCAGGTCATTAGGCTTGTCTGCAGATGCCTTTACCTGCTGAACCATCTAGCCAGCTCCACTGAGGTCTCACAGTCTACAAGAGAGGACACTGTTCCTCTTTATTCTGAGGGGGAACCTCTCAGGGGAGAAACGACACTCACACACACAGAACTTTCCCTGCCACAGGTGTGTGCTAGCTCATCTTCTGAAGTACACACAGGGTGAATGCTGGGGGAAGTCAAGCAGATTTAGTTTGTAAATGGTTGCTTCGATCATGGAAGGGAAACACTATCCATTTGACAAGATCAGAAGGTCTAAGGATGCAGCAGATTTTCTTCCCAGAAGGACAATGGAGCAGCAGGCGACCTGGGCACAAGGCCCTAAATGCACAGTGTGTAAACACTCCCCAGATTCACTCGTGTAAGTCAGTCGGGCTACGTAAAGTGTCAGTGAGCCAGCAGTTGAGAAAGTTAGTGTTACTCACTAACTTTCTGAGCACAGTGATTGGGCTGAATAGAAAGACAGAATCTCCATGCACAGGAGCTATTGGCATCCACAGTGGCAGAGGGAGCCATCTCCAACAGTTTGTTGGTGTTAATCGGAGAAGAGGGCTAGAGAGGCGCTCTCAGTTAAGGGAATCTACGGGTCGTGCAGAGGACCTGAGTGTGGTTTCCAGCACCCACAACAGGCGGCTCACAACCCCTATACCTCCAATTCCAGGGCATCCAACTCCGAAATGTATGTAGACACATAATTAACATAACAGAAACAAATCTTAAGGCGAAAAAGAGAAGGAATGCCCACTTCTCCACATCTTTAACAGTGAGGCTGTTGAGCTGACAGGATGTTTATTTACATCTCCATCTTTCCTGCAGCCAGATCTGACCACAGCACTAGTTCAGACCAGACACAAGCAGAAACTTTACACGGGTTTAGGGACTGCGCCTTAGCGAGCAGGGCAACAGTCTGTGTGGACTGACAGCTCTAAAGCTCTAGCCTGGACTTCAAGAGTAGAGCAGCAAGCACAGGAGTTGGACATTTGGGACTATGCTGGTAAAGTGGCCAACACAGCTGAGGCTACTGTGACATGTGCATAGCCATTTCTTTTTTCTTTTCTTTCTTTCCTTCTTTCTTTCTCTCTCTCTCTCTCTCTCTCTTCCTTCCTTCCTTTTTTTTTTTTTTTTTTTTTTTTTTGAGACAGGGTTTCTCTGTGTAGCCCTGGCTGTCCTGGAACTCACTCTGTAGACCAGGCTGGCCTTGAACTCACAGAGATCTGCCTGCCTCTGCCTCCCCAGTGCTGGGATTAAAGGTCATTTCTAAGAGTTCAATTCCATACACTGTCTCAGAGCTCAGCCGTTTCGAGGAGGAGAAGGGTAGGAAGGAGGCAGCACCAGACGCAGGGTGTGCGCTCACAGAAAAAGGATCACACTTCATTTCCCACTGCCCCAGCCACTGGCCTACACAGCCTGGCTCTCAGCCACCCTCGAGAACTCAAGCTCACTGTGTGCCCTTTGAGAAAAGGCTTTTGGAGTCCTAGTCTCTCTAAACTAGTACCTTTAACTCCCATTTGCCAAGTAACAGATGACTTCTGAGAGTGTACAAGGACACAGGGCGGGCGCTGCTGGCCACCTGTAAGAAAATGCTGTGTCCACTCCCCACTCGGTTCCCCTGCTACCAAGGGAACCTTCTCCAGCACGCTCAACTCCTCACAGCATGCTGACCTAATCACAAGGAGTAGGAAGCATACGGGGAACGTTCTGAAAATGCAGGGTACATGTAAACCACAGTCTGAAGGAGTCGAAGGAACAGCAGCAGACACAGGGTCATTAGCTCATTCCTGCGACATCCTTGTACCATCAGTGTAAACAGTAGGTGAGTGCCTGGTGTAGGTGGCGCACACTTTCGACCTCAGCACTTGGGAGGCACAGGCATGGAGCTGGTGGTTCCAAGCCAGCCGGGACTACGCACGGAGACGCGTCTGCAGAAAGAACGAGGAGGAGCAGCTGCGGCTGCTGTTGTGAAGGCCTGGTGACGCCTTCAACATCTCAAGATCTGCTCAGTTCTGGGACTCACAGTTCAACTGCTTAGACCACATGCAGCTAAATCAACCGAAAACTGTCGCTCACCGGCCCTACAAAGCCCAGCAGTCCTGACCGGATGAAGGGAACATCTCCCACAGGCGAGCCCGAAGAACTCACTGGAACCACCTAAAACACAAAAGGGAAAAGGCGAAAAGCTTGCCTACTTTCCAAAACCATGCACGTGATGTCTTACTTAAGAGGAAAAACTACAAGTAATACATGCTAACTGAGCAGGGCATTGGTGCCATGCACCCTTAATCCCAGCACTCAGGAGACAGGCAGGTGGATCTCCGTGAGCGTGAGGCCAGCCTGGTCTACGCAGCAAACCCCAGACTGGCCAAGGCTCCATAGTGAGACCCTACCACTAAAAACAAACACCCCAATACAATCATAATATATGTTTACAAATAATACATATTTATAACATGCTTGTTGGAAGCCATATTCTGCAACAAATGCAGGGATGTCTTCCATTTCAATGTTTGCTGTTTATCTCTCTGGGCCATTTTATGACATGTGTTTGTGTTTGTGTCATTGCATATGTGTGCATATGAGCATGTGGGAGTCGGACAACTGCAGCAGTCAGGGCTCTTTTGCCATGCGGGTTGTGTGTGGCATAAGGGACTGTGAGGTGCCTTTACTGTGTCATCTCACGGGCCCACAGGCTACAGAGGTTACCGTATGCTAAAACAGGGTCACGGGGTTGCTCACCCACAAAGCTGTGCCGTGCAAGTGTGAGGCCCAAGGTTTTGACCCCTGGCACCCGTGCAAAAGGCTGGGGAGAGGGGTGCCAACAGCAGGAGGCCCCACTACTGAAGCCTAAGCAGCAGACAGCACGAACACGGGGCAGGACAGAGGACAATGCCCATGACCTGGTTCACATGCACATACACAGAGCACGTGATACACACACATGTGGGTGTTGACATATCACACACACACACACACACACACACACAATTGAAAAGGGATCGAATTACAGTTGTCTTTCCATTCACTAGCAGACTTCAGTGTGTCTGGAACAGCCCATGCTGTGAGACAGTTACATAACAGTGCACGTCACAGCATAGACGGTGAGGCCTGGGGCCTATTGTGGCTCTGCAGTTCACTGACGGGGACTCTGGGAAAGTCCCATTTTTGGTTATAAATGATGCTCTCAGATTCTCCTCCTGGGCTTGGGTAAAGATAAAGCAATGCAAACAGATCTGGAGAGGTTTACATACACACACACACACACACACACACACACACACACACTCTGGCTGGGCGCCGTGAGGCACACAAGTAATCTCAGTACTCTAGGAAGCAAAGGCAGGTATATCTCTGTGAGTTTGAGGCCAGCCTGGTCTACAAAGTGAGTTCAGGACAGGCAAGGCTACACAGAGAAACCCTGTGTGAGGGAAAAAGAAAAAGATTGCGGGTTCAGTCTGGCCAGGTGTCCTGATCCCTCACAACCTTACCCAGTGCTTTCATGAATACCACTGCATATATTTTCATAATTTATGCAAAGCAGAAAGGCTGCAAGTGCAGCAGCCCCACAGCTGCTGTCTCAACACTGACTCCACCAGCATCACAGAAATGTACCCATTTCGCAGCTGGAGAGACGGCTCGGAGGCTAAGAGCACTGGCTGCTCTTCCAGAGGGCCTGAGTTCAATTCCCAGCCACCACATGGTGGCTCACAACCACCTATGATGTGATCTGGTGCCCTCTGCTGTTGCACAGGTGTACATGCAGGCAGAACACTGTATACATAGTAAATAAATAAATCTTTAATACAAAAAAGAGCGTCCATTTTCCCCGTATTACAGCCAGCACCGTATATTGTCCCTTTCCAAACTTTGCTAATCTTGTGGTGAAACCCAGAGATTCCATCATGATTTAACCCTGTTTCCTCGTTAGTGAGGATGAACTGCCTTTTTCTGTCTACTTGTGTGTGTGCACATGTGTGTCTACACGGGTATGCATAGTAAATAGCTCACTTACACAAACTCCTGCAGTTTTTTATTCCTTTGATTTTTTTATTTTTTCCTTGATTTTTTTCTCCTTTTAATTTTAATTTTTTGAATCTGTATTTGTGGGTTTTGCCTACATGTCCATCTTTCTGTCTGTGCCCAATGTGCATGCCTGGTGCCTTCGCAGTCCAGGAGAGGGAACAGGACCTCCTGTGCCTGGAGCTGCAGTCGAGTCTGAGCTGTCATGTGGGTGCTGGGAATTGAACCTGGGTCCTTTAAAAGAGCAGCCGAGACTTAACCAGTCATCTCTCCAGCCCACCTCCCTTTATTATTTTTCACACACACACACACACACACACACACACACACACACTGCTGTGCCTCCGTCCACCCACCCACCCTGCATGTCACAGTGCCTACGTAGAGAACACACAGCAGCATGCAGAAGTCAGTCTTCCAATTGTCCCATGTACACCGACAGACAGACATGTAGGAAAAACACCTACATTTAAAAAATTAAAATCAATTAACGAAGGAAGGAAGAAATGAACTTTCTCCAGCTGCTCTTGTGCATGTGTGCCACGGCACACCTATGAAGGTCAGAGGACACTTGTGAGAGGTTCTCCTCATCAACTACGTGGTTTCTGGGGACTGGACAATCCCCAGATGTGGTGGCGGGCAGCTTACCTGCTGAGCCATCTCACTGCCTCCTGTCTCCTCCCTTCACTGTGCCCTCACAGTTTACGCTGGAGAGAAGACATTTCCATGGGCTGGTGGTCACAGCGCTGCCTGGCTAGCCCTCAAGCATCACCGACAAGGAGTCAAAATCTGAGGCTAGCAGCCGTCTCTCAAGACAGGCAATGATGGGTGTTCTCTTCAAACACTGCTAGAGGGCCTGGCAGACAGCTCAGCGGTCAGAGCCTGACTACCCGAGGTCGGCCTCGGAACCCTAACAGATGCACAGCAATGCGTGCAGCCTCACCCCTGTATTCCCAGCAGGGAGACAGGAAGCAGGGACAAGGCCACAGAGACCTCAGGGCCAGCTGGCCTGAAGCTGCAGCAAAACCCAGAGACAGACCCTGCTTAGCAAAGCGCCGTGGGGGCTGGGGAGGGGGCTCAGAGGTTAAGGGCGCTCACTGCTCTTGCAGAACCTGATTCCCAGCACTGCATGGTGGCTCACAGCCGTCTGTACTCCTGTCCGGGCACTCCAACTCACTCTTCTGGCCTCCAAGGGCACCAAGCATGTACTGTAGTGCATGGACATAGGTGCAGGGAAAGCATCTACACAGGTGGATATTTCTTTATTATAAACAAAGGGGGAGAAGAGAACTGACTCTCAGGTTGTCCTGTGACCTCTACATATGTGCAGCCATGGTGGTCTCTTCTCCGCCCTCTTCCTCCTTCTCTCCCCTCCTCTCACGTACGCACACAATAATACACTTCTGCTTGAAGTGAGGTGAAGAGGTATGTGCTGTAATGCCAGCTTCTCAGGAGGCTGAGGCATGAGGAGGGTAGATACGAGGCTGGTCGGGCCACTCAGTGAGGCTTTGTCGCCAACAGCATGGACCCTATTTCCAGTGTGCAAGAGTCAATGACGAGCTTTACACGCACGGAAAGACAGAAGCTGGGGCCAGCACGGGGTTCCTGGGTTACAGCCCTTGCCACCATGCCCGATGACTGGCGTTCAAGCCCTAGAACCACATGATAGGAGACAGAACACCCTTAAAGCTGTCCACTGCTCTTCACACACACATGCATACATACAAACGTGCACACATAACCACACACAAGAAGTAAGTGAATAAACAAACAAATGTTTCTAAAAAAGTCTGTTTAGAGACAGAAACTGGCAATGGTGGTTCATACCTATAATCCCAGGAACTCAGGAGGCTGAGGCAGCAGAATTACCAAGAGTTTGGGGCCAGTCTGGGCTACAGAGCAAGATCTTATCTCAAGGGCTGAGAACAGAGCTAGCACAGGAGCGGGTGTGTTGAGCACCAAGGCCTTGTGCTGAGCACTGGCATGGAAAGAAGGGGAGAGAATGAATGCTCAGCTTTAGAAACAGTAAAAGGCACAAGTATAAGATAGTGAATGACAGCGGGTCAACGAGGAGGCTGGAGATGCACACGCCTGGGCAGCAGAAAGCTCCTGCGGCAGGGATGGAGACAGCCTTTGAGCAGACACTGGCGACTCACTTTGCGCTTTTGGGTTGGAAACAGAGACGATGCTCAGCTGGTGCTTAGCCTCCTCCAGGCAGCACACGACAGGCAATACAATGCTCTGTCACACAGACGCATGCCGTCAGCGCGATGGCCAGCATCCTGTGCGCTCCTTTATAACAGAACAGCTGCAACGCAGAGCGATGCACGCTGTCCTGCCAGCTGAGAAAGCCAAGCCAGCCTCCAGGAAGGGCAACTCAGAGGTGGGGTCAGCAGAGCCTCGCCAGCCCATCTAGCGTAAGGAGCCACAGCCAGCAGCAGACCCCTCTGCTCCGAAGGCACTGCGGCCAGTTAAGTACTTCTAACTTGCAGGCGCACCAGGGCAGCCCCACTTACACCTTAGCCCGGAGGCGGCAACGCTCGCTGCACGGCCTCCTCAGGAAGCGCGCTGCCTGTGCCAACCCCGGCTGGCCCAGCAGCCCAGCGTCCTGACTGAGCCCAGCACAAAGAACGCTCCGGAGCAGAGAGGACTCACCAAGTACCTGCTTGAGGAGCACTCTGACCCCTGCAAAGGGTTAAGGCTCTTAGTATGTGTGCATGTGTGTGCATGAACGTACGAGTGTCTGCCTGTCTGTGGGAGTATTTGATTGTGGAGTTCGTTGCACATGCATGTGTGAAGGCTCAAAGTTTATGCTGGGTGTCTTCTTCACTGAGGTGACTTTTCTGCTGAACCCAGGGCCTGCAAGTCCACTAGTCCAGCTGAGCAGCTTGCCTGGGGACTGGGCTAGCTGCTGGGCACGCCTGCCTTCTGGAGACCTTTATCATCTCCCATGTCTTACACGATGACCTGACACAGCTAGCGTCTGGCCCAGGACTCTGAGATTCAAGTGCCTCTGCCTCCCTGGGCAGTGCTGGGATTGAAGGTGCCACCATGCCAGTGCTTCTGCCTTTTTTGGAGACACGGGCCTATTATGCAGCCCAGGCTGGCCTTGAACTCACAGTCCCCGACACCAGGCTCTCAAGCACTGTGATCACAAGTACTCGCCACCTTGTCTGGTTCTCACATGTATCTTAAAGATAAAGGAGCTGGGCACTCAGACAGTCACAAGGCAGCCGGTGCGTGTGCCTGAGTATCTGAGCTCGGCACCTGGCCCCAGAGAGCTCCATCTCAGCCACTAGGCCTCTCTAGTCACATCCGATCTCACTGAGCACCCTGGGAAATACATCACGTACCTCAAATGTATTTTTGGTCACGCCAGCAAGTCCAAAGTACATCATTCCTCCAGTCCTGGAACTCACACAGATTTCTCCAATCTCGTCTGTCTTGCAGAGCTGAGGAAGGCCGTCTGGCTTCACAATACACATCATGCCTAGTGCACAGAAGCGAGACAGACAGGGGAGTCTGGACAGCCTGCAAAGGAACAACTTGGTTCTGCAAACCCGGGGAGCCACACATTTACTGAACTGGTGCCTGGCAGAAGGACGGCAGCAGCCGGTGAGGAAGCAGGCACTGGCCCTACGCAGGGTCACGCTCTCCCTCCCAGCGCCTGGCATCCCTTTGCACGTGAAGAAACGTAACTCCTCTTGGCATGCCTCTGGGACTGGCGGCACACAGCATCAGTGCAGCACAAGCCTAACGGCACCTCCCCCCTCAACCGCCAGAGTGGCTCCCATGTGACCAGATACTGAAACTGGGATTGCCAGAGTTGGTCCTCTCGTCCATCAGCCCTCCCGTCTCTCTAGATTCCCCTCTTCACATGGTTCTGGGGGTGGAACCAGGCCAGCATTCTACCAGCAAGCTACCTTCCCAGCCCAGCACTGCTATTTTTTCTCCCCAAGACAGGGTTTCTCTGTGTAGCCCTAGCTGTCCTGGAATTCATTCTGTAGACCAGGCTGGCCTCGAACTCACAGAGATCTGCCTGCCTCTGCTTCCCCCTGCTGGAATCACAAGCATACACCACGGCACCTGGCTCAGCAGCACTGTTTTGGAGTCAAATCTTTACGAAATCCCAATTGTACCCTCAAACGTACCCCCGGGCATCACATGCCCCACATCCTGCACTGTCAGCGCCGAGTTCTTATCTTCAGTATTAACCCGGATGACTCCATAGCTCAATCCGTTCATCGAAAGAATGGCTCTTCCTGGCAAAGGAGCCCCTGGAACCCCAGGTCTATAATGGGAAACAAACTGTCAGGCCCGCTATATACAAACACACATACATACAAACAAAAAACAAAAAACAAATAGGCAAAACATGTGGGGCTGACAAGATGGCTCAGTGGGTACAGGCAAGCCTGATGACCTGAGTTTGATCCCCAGGTCCACATGGTAGAAGGAGAAAATCGACTCCTCCAGGCTGTCCTCCAACTTCCACACACCTGCTGTGGTGTCACCACACACACACGTGTAAATTTTGAAGAAATTAAAAACAAGGAGATGGGCTTGACGGCTCCTGCCTGAGCTACAGTGAGACTGGCAAGACAGTCACTGGGGTGGCCAGCCTGCAGCCCAGCCACGACGCAAGCTCAGGAGAGAGCCACCTCAGGGGAAAGGAGCCTTGGAGCCTCCCTGTCCTTCGCTCAGGGCATCCTCCCACACCTTGCTCCAGGCCTCCAGAGACTAACACAGACCCAGAGATACACAAACAATTTTCTTTAAAAAAAGGAGGAAGAAAAGAAGATGCTGGTGTTGGGTGTGCTATAAAGGGACAGATCTGCACACCTCAGGCAGGATCAGCCTATCTCTAATTTAAGACGCAAAGATTTCTGAAGTCACAAATACGAGACAGGAATAATTACAGTAAAATTCCAGCTTCAAGGTGTACAGTTCTGTCAAGAAGAGGAAAAATACTGAGGTGCCTGAAATGACTTTACAAGGTAACTTTGACTCTGGGCTTGTGAAGCAGAAAGTAATTTCGATCTCTTCTCTCACCATGCACACACCTCGCCAGGCTGAGGACAGACATCCAGAGAGCCGATCATGACAGTACCTGCGGATGGCGACGGTCATGGCCTCAGCGGAGGTGGCACAAGGACAGATGGCCTCAGGCTTCAGTCCGTGGCTTTGGAACAGACTCAGGAAAGCATCACAGGACGACACAGACCCTGAGGAGTTGGGACAGAGCAGCTCTCCTTATTCGGGAAACTACGAAGTGGGGCAGCACAGCTGTCCATGAGGCCCCCTCCCCCGCACTCACTCACTCGTGCAAACTGTTTGCGGTGCTGTGAGGAGGTCCCTGACAGTTCCTACGCTCGCACTAGAAAGGCTACACCTACCAGGCGGCTGGCGCAAGCCTGGGCACAGCGCTGCAGGCCTAGGCAGCCAGCTGGGAACCCAGAAGCCAGTCCTGAAGTGGCGGCTGCAGCCAGGCCGAGCGGCCCTGCAGTCCTGCCTGCTCTCAGTATGCTCTGCCTCCTCGACACGCTCGCCACATGTGTTTAAGGCAGGGTAATGAGCTTGCTTCTAAGTCTCCGAGTCTCCCGAGTGGAGAAAAGCAGTGAGGTCCGTACACCCTGCACATGCCCTTTGCTGCTTGGAGGTCAGCCTGCTCACACTCAGCTAACCCTCCTCCGCCCAGTGAGCCGCACGCAGCGAAGAGCATTTAAAGAGAGGCATGCTCTCAAGAAGCTTCTCAGTCCACCCAGACACGAGAGGGTAAGCTCTCTCTGTGAGCGGCATCCGTGCTGCATTTGTGAGGGGCACATGCCGATCACCAGGACCACGCTCACTAGAGGAGCAGGTCACTCAGGACTACACACAAGACTTCGAGCATACAGAGCGTGCACAGCAGCGAGTCTACAGAGACAGCATGTGGAGGCTGCAGAGAGCAGTGAGAGACCTGCTGCTCCTCCACAGGACCCAAGCTGTTCCCAGCTCACAACCCTAACTCTAGTTCCAGCAGGTCAGACACCCTCCTCTGGCCGCTGAGAAAACATGCACACACCTGGCATATTTTCATTGAAATGCACACAAACATACACAAAAAATTTTAAAATCTGTTTTGTTTTTGTTTTCTTTTTTGAAACCAACTTTCTCTATGTACCCCTAGCTGTCCTGGAACTTTTCTGTAGACCAGGCTGACCTTGGTCTCACAGAGATCCGCCTGCCCCTGCCTACCTGAGTGCTGGGATCAAAGGCGTATACCACCACTGCCCAGCTTTTTGTTGTTGTTGTTTTAGAGAAAGAAAATGTATGATTGTCTACAGCTGAGGGACAGCAGAGAGGATGAAGAGTAACAACGGGCCTGGGGTTTCCCTCAGGCTGACAGAAGTGTGCAGGTGACAGCTGCACAGGTGCAATACACCCAAGTCATACACCTGAAAGGGAAACTTATTCATTCATTCATTCATTCATTCATTCATTCATTCATTCATTCATTTCTGACACAGGGTTTCTCTGTGTAGCCTTGGCTGTCCTAGAACTCACTCTGCAGGCCAGGCTGGCCTGTAATTCAGAGACCCGCCTGCCTCCGCCTCCCAAGTGCTGGGATTAAAGGTGCATGTACCACCACTACGAGGTGAAATGGGCAAGTTTTGTCGTATGTAAATTACATCTCAACACGGATGTTGCAAACAGAAGCTCTTACAGAAGAGGAGCAACCCCCCAGCCTGTCAGGTGCCACAGGAGCTCCGCAGGCAGCACTCACAGGGATTGGCGCCGTCGGTGACAACGAGCATCCGCAGAGAACTGAGGCTCACGTCCCTCTGGTCCCGATGTGCCATCATGGCCCAGTGGAGGTCTCGGCACTTTACTAGCGCCACTTTGGCTACAGATGCAGAGGAACAGGGCTGTGACGTCACGCACACTGAATCTGGGCGTACAGCTAATATCTGCAACACGCTTATTTATTTTAGTGGTAGTTCTCACTTGATAAAAATTTTAAACTTTCAAAAAGATTGTGTGAGCGTTTCAGGGGAAGCAAGCCACTGACAGGTCAAAACATCTCCGTCAAGGAAACTGGACAGCGCAGCATTCAACGGAGCCGACTGTGGTTCAAATCCTGGAGAACTTACCTCAATTTGTCAGAAGAGACACAGGGAGATAAAGCAAACAGCTTATTTCAATAGCAACTCCAAAACTTGGTAAGGCACCATGGTAAAGAACTGTTTCACTCCCTCCTGGGGCATGCTTCCAACAGTCTAATTATTAATGTACGTGTGTGTGTGTGTGTGTGTGTGTGTGTGTGTGTGTGTGTGTGTGTG